ATATATATATATATATATATATATATATATATATATATATATATATATATATATATATATATATATATATATGTATGTATGTATGTATGTATATGCGCGCACACACACACACACACACACACACATACAGGGTGTCTTAAAACTATAGGAACCCCTGAATATCTTTTTATAGTAAGGTTTTTCGATAAAATTTTCAAAACAAAAGGATTTCAAAAGCTTGTAGGATTTCAAAAGCTGAATCTTATAGTGACCTTAACATTGACCTTAAGTTTGACCTTGAAGGCCATTTCAAGGTCAACTTTATTTTTTCAAATTGGACATGCATATTTTCATGACAGATTCGGAATCTACGCCAAAAACTGAAAACCTTTTGTCTGAAACATTTTTTCAGAAAATGCTTCCTTTGGCCTTAAAATGACCTTCAAACTTCCGGGTTTCCGAAAAATATGGGAACAATGCCATCAGCGGTCGCGCAATAGCGGATGCTTTGACTTCGAAATGACGCCCGATGGCATCCTGACCCAAGGATCAGGGTTTCCATTAAAAAAAATTAAGCTGACCTCAAAATGACCTTCAAGGCCAATTTTGAGGTCACCATCAGCTTCTGAAATCCTACAACTTTTGAAAGTTTTATCGAAAAGCCTCACTATAAAAAGATATTCAGGGATTCCCATATTTTTAATGGGATTTTTTAAATTATTATTTTTAATTAATTAATATTTTTTAATGGGAACCCTGACTCTTGGGTCAGGATGACCATCGGGGGGTCATTTCGAAGTCAAAGCATCCGCTATTGTGCGACGGTTGATGGCATTGCTCCAATATTTTTAAGAAAAACCGTGAAGTTTGAAGGTCATTTTAAAATCAAAGGGAGCATTTTCTAAAAAAATGTTTCAAACAAAAGCTTCTCAGTTTTTGACGTAGATTCCGAATCCGTCATGAAAATATACATGTTTAATTAGAAAAAATAAAGTTGACCTTGAAATGGCCTTCAAGGTCAAACTTACGGTCAATTTTAAGGTCACCATCATATTCAGCTTTTGAAATCCTATGACTTTTGTTTTGAAAGTTTTATCAAAAAACCTCACTATAAAAACATATTCAAGAGTTCCTATATTTTTAAGACACTCTGTATACACACACACCACACACACACACATATATATATAGGGTTGGCAAAAAGTCCGGAAACGGTCAAATATCTCGAAAAGGATGAACTGTAGCGAAAAATATGTAAGTAGCAAAGTTGTAGGGCTTAATAAAATGTACCTAATGATGGCTAAAAATTTGACTTTGGGTGGTGGACGAAGGTCATACGAAGGTCAAATTGAATTTTTTAAATTGGACCCCCCACTTTTTATTACATATTCTTGTAGCTTATTTCAAGGGCTTTTTAAAAACCTATAATAAAGTATTTTTTTATTAGGCATATTTAAAGTTATGAGGCTTGAAAGGATTTTGGTCTTTAACTGTTTCTGTTTCGTAAAAACATATCGTACTGTCTTCTGAACGATGGATTTAGAAATAAAATTGCGATCAGGTTATGCAGCATTGAATATGTAGATCAGTTACTTCTTCGTATGATCTAATATGGTCTCCAAATTTTCGATAAAGAAACAGCATTATCTTTTCTTTATCGGTTAACATTT